CATAAAAGGTAGGCCCATATACCTTCTTCCTCTCTTTAAAAGATTAAAAACAAGTTAACAAAGCTTCTTTCAATGGAAATAATGGTGGAGAAACGAACCACCAACTTAGAATATAGGTTTTTTAAACTAAAGACCAATTCATAGTCCAAATTGTTATACCACTTCCTCACCATCAACCCAAAGATGGTGGGAAGTACCTTACACATGTGTTCGAGCTATGTATGATTAGCTCGGGGTTTCATCGGATGTTTTGTATATATTTTTTAGAATCATCATGCCATCATACACATCTAGATTCATATTTTTGATAGAGAACTCTTTTTATTTGTTTGGAGTTTAAGATGTAAAAAGCAAGTAAAGCGGCCTAGATCTTGTAGATGTAATGGTATAATTTTAGCCAAGTGGTGGTAAGAGATCTCTTGTATAATCACTAGCATTTAGGCTTGAGGATTATAGCATTTAAGGGGAACTACTTTTGTATTTATGTTTGTGTTTAATTTACGGTAGTCATATGTTTGTTTCGGCACTATGACATTATTTTATTTTCTCTTTCTTCTCTCTATTCTTATGAAAGCCCTAGCTAGTTAGCTTTTTATCATGATGCTAGGAGTAATTTTTCTATGGTTTTAGGGAACAAAGGCTTTCCTTTTTTCAGCCCCATATTCATTGGGTCGTTGTTTCCTCTTTACTTGGAATATTGAGTCGATCTATTTTAATGAAAGGGGTATAAATGCTCGTAGAATTTATGGTGGTATAAAAGTATCTAGAAGTGGTGCATGTTGAGGTGCTTGCTGCATCTAAGACATTAGCAAAACGGTGGTCAAATGCCTTATTTTATTTTACATTGGTATGTATGTTTTGTTAATATTTAGACGTGTCACTATAGCTAAAGAATATTAAAAATGGCAAAATCAAATGGAGTGGAATGTGTTAGAGTTTCTTGGCTATCAACTATGAAAAAGATTAAAGATGGAGAAGTGGAAAGGTTAGGGGTTGACTTTTTCCTTAAACTTCTCACAAACAATGCCACTAATGAGGTCCTAATCCTTGAATTATGATTAATAGCAAGATGGATGACAATCCGGACTAATTGTTCGATTGTTATAGCTTAATGTATACTCGATTTAATTATAAATACCTACAAAATAAGTTCTCTTCTAGTGTTTTGAGGAACCTTTGAACGATAAATTAGCTTATAGAGAGAAGTTTTTTGCTTGAGTAGGTTTAAAAAAATTAGCTCTTAAATTTATAAGTTACTTGGTAATATATATGTTTAAGTTTAGAAGGAAGAATTTGTAATATTTAGCGTGTTAACCTTTATATAGAAGGAGAAGATGATCAATTTGCATAAAGCAAAGGATAGATTGGTCTTTTTCTTTGTGTTCAATATCTTTTGAGATCAACTTGAAGGTTTAGAACCTTTTTAAAAGATGGTTGTTATCTAGTGACGATTGTTCGGTCATAGTTGGTGATAATGAAGGTTTAGAACCTTTTTTTTTCAATAAGTAGATAGAAGGATATCTTCTTTATTCGAGTTATTCTTCTATACTGATTGTCTAGTTTTTGCTCGATTGTGATTGCTTTTGGCGGCTAGTCGGGATTATTTTGTTCGGGATGAATTCTTAGCCGAGCGGGCTTTTAATGGTGTAATGAGACATATTTCATGATTGCTATAATTCGGTATATCCCTAACTATATTAAGTGGAGATATGTTGATTCTTTTAGAAATTCGGGTGATATTATAGTTTTATATGATGATAGTTGCTTTAAAATGAATTTAAGAGACATAGGATCAAATTGGATGGTCGTGAAAGTTTTTTATCTTAGGTTTTTTGACAAGGGGTGAATTAATTGAATTTTCTCTTGTTAGGTAGAAATTTACCTAAATTTCCTCTTATTGGGGAGAGTTCTAAGATACATATATGGTTTTTCTTATATGCTTGTTTTCAATCTCTTTGTGAATTATGAAACCAAACGAAGTTGAATTAAGAGAAACTTTAAAAGATATTGAAATTACTTCATCGAATATAAATATAAAAAATTTTGATATAAGTTTTTTTTGGTTCTTTAAATGCCATCACCTAGTTGAATAATCCTTTTGCATGCCCTTAGAGGTTCAAATCAATCATTCTTTAAATGTCATTGCCTAGCTGAATAATCCTTTTGCATGCCCATAGAGGTTTAGATCAATAATGAATTCTATTCTGGTTTTAAAGTCTTTTTTATATCAAATGTTTTGCATACTCTTAGAGAGGCAAATTTGTAACTTAGGCTTTAGCAAAATCAAGAAGGCAAACTATTTCCTTTAATGTTTTGGTAATAGAAGGAATTTATTGCAATTGAAGCAGTTTTTGGTTTTTTAGACGCTATCAATTTTCTTGTCAACATGTGTTTTATGGGTGCCAATAGTTTGGGTTTGTTTGAAGCGGTGGATCTAGCTTGGCTCCCACTTGTTTTAACTCTCGCTTATGTTTCATTTATTTTCGAAGTGGATTTTAGTCAATCTTTCTTTGTAAGGATATTATTTGAGGTCATTTGGATTGTGGTTTTTAAAATTCATTCATGGTGTTTAAATTGTTTTGTTGTTGTAGTTTTGCCCACTTTTTATTTATTTATGTTTGTTTCACTCTCCCTTTATGGGTGCTTGTTGTAATTGTAGGCTATGCCTACAATTATTATTAATTTCTCTCGATTTAGAAAGAAAAAAAATCTAATATACTTGTTGTGGATTAATAGTTTAATCTGTTTTAATATAATACGTCAAAATTTTAATTTGTCTTTATATATTTAATAGAGTCAATTTTATTATTTAATATACGGTAAGTTTTTAATGTATCTTTCTAGTAAAATTTTCAAGTCAAACCACCTTAATTAATAACATGATTTGCATATGATTATTTTTTATGTTTAAAATTCTCTTACAAACCAAACAAATAGAAAGCTTTCATTTACAAATTCTGTGACTAATTCGGATAGTTTAATTTAAAAGTCTTACAATAATGATATATTAAAAACGTAACAAATATTTAAAAATAAAATTAATTCAATTGAAAATATAAAACATATTAAAATAATATTTATCATATAAAAATAGATTCTAATATTAGCTCTAGCTCTATTGTTGTTGATACTGTCATTGAATCAAAATGATATCAAGACAGTTGATAGTTTTAGGAACTACTTTATAAGATTTAACATCTGAATAATTATATGCCGAAAGGGACGAGAGTAGTAAAATCCACTTGGCTCATCTTTTCTTTAGGGATCTATCCAGAAGCTCCGCCTTGAAACTTACTTCACCACCAAGGAGAGATTATTTCTGATGTGGAATCGCACTTGATGGGAATGACTTATCCAGGATCTTTAATCTTATAGGGTAAAAGGAAGCAATCAAACGGTGAATAAGTGACTGAACATCAAGATTAAAGCATATGCTGTTCTACCTAAACAAGAAACAGCTTTTAATAGTTGACCAGTAGGCCAATTGCAGCAATGCCTCCAAATAATCGCCAAATAACATAGTTTCTGCTTGTGGCATCACGTGATCGAGATTCCAGTCACCTACTCTGCACACATCACCAAATAATTAACCAATTGATTGGTATATTTTAGATTCATAACACAATGATTTAACTTGCATTGTTAATTAACTTTTTAAAATCACCAAATATTAACCCCAAAATGACCTTTCCTTATTTGAGTAATAATAGAAATACCAAAACCACAAAGTGATAGCCTAATGATAAGCAGATATTAATTTGTAGGGCGAATCTAAGATTCGATTCTTATAACTAGTACTTCGAGAATTTATTTTCTAAATATTCAAAAAAAATTTATTGAAGAGTATCCTTTAACCACTTTCAGGAAAAAAAAAAATCTTGATATACATAAAATTTGATCCGAAAACATCCTTATTGCTAAATAAAAAAAAAAAAAAAAGGAATGCCAAATATCTTTATTAAATTTCGCTTACTAAATGAAGATGTATCTATTACAAGGGAAAAAAATTAATTATGAAATGTAGATGTTATTGTATTTAATAAAATAATTATGATTGTGAAATTGAGTTATTCATAAAACATCAAATGTCTTGTTATTTAAAAAAAAAAAATTAAGTATATTATCCTTTTTATATCTACGCAATCCAAAAATTTTCTTGTGATGCATGGTTGATCATGGATTGGACTCTTTAAAACATGGACTGAACCATTGATAACATGGACAATTAAGTGTTGATTGGACCGTTTATGTCATGGATTGGACTAGTTATTATCTGATGAAATCATGGCTCGGACTGCTTGATTATGGATTGGACTCGTTCAATACTAGGAACTGGTTAGCTGTGAATTAATTGGATCGTTTGCCATTTCCCATGTGGACACATGAACTTCATTAAGATCGGCGTAAAACGTTAGATATAGTTTTTGTTGTGTTTTATGTTTAGGATGTAGGATCCAAATTTTCACTGATTGAATTTTTCCCTTTTGAAGATAAGACTCAATAAAGCATTATTTGGGAAAGAAATTCATGTCATGGATTTGAATTGTTTCAGAAAATATATTTGATTTATATATTGTGTTTATTATATTTACATCTAGTTAAAGTATTCGTTACCATAAAATAAATAATTCCTTATAAAATGATTCGTATTATTATTATTATTATTTTCACTGCAGTTTTCCATGAAAGTATATGGATTTATTTTCTTACTGTTAAATAATAATTCCTTAAATTTATAAGATGAAACCATGCGTACTTTTATTATTTTCCTTTTTTCTCCATGATTTTTTTTTTTTTTTTTTTTTTTTTTTTTGAGGCAAGGTACTAGTAAATTGACAGTTCATCAAAGTTGAACTCAAAATTATATATGCATAACTTTTATTCCGTATCGGTCAGGTTATGCTTATAAAAAAAAACGTACAAAACACTAACAAAAGCATATATAACAATCTAACATATATGAAATCTCTCCTTTACAAATTTTACAATAATAGAGAGAATTAGGCAGAGACAAAAATTTCACATTTATTAGGCTGGTCTTGATTGGACCTGGGACCCTTGCTATTCTCAATGGGATCGTCTTGCTCATTTGTTTTGGGGCAAACAGCTTGTTGCATCTCACAAGAAATTGTGCTCAATTTGTCAATATCAATGTTGTGTTGAGGTAGTTTAGGGTCCATAGGCACTACTGGCTTGAAGTTCTTGTAAATTGCATAGAGTATCATCTGAAGCACCCCAAAGATGAAACCCACTATGTTTGGAATCTGCACACGTACAGATTGAAAAATCAAGGGAAAGAAGTAACTTTCAGTGTCTAGATTTATGCAGAAGTGCAAGGATAGCATGCTGCAGGATGTGTAATGCAGCAGCAACTAAACAGGGTCATGACACCAAAAAAAAAAGGAAAAGCCCCCCATTTATTTAAACATCATAAAAGTAGCTCCTAACTCACGAAAAAATTTATAATACTTAAGGAGTAATTAAATAATTACTTCATTTGAAGAGAAAGATGGATAAAAAAAAAAAAAAAAGAGAGAGAAACAGAATAGAGAAACAAATCAGGTGGAACGGGGCAATAGCCAATTAGAGAAAGGCCAGGGGAGCGAATTGGATAATATATTCGGGTAAACTACAAAACTCCCATTGAGATTTATTGGGTTCTATCAATTTTCTCCCTAAACTATAAAACTTTTTATTTACCGGCCCCCATAAGGTTTCAACTTTGTTACCATTCATATGCCTCCATATTTCTCCTTAAATTTGTTTATTAATTAATTTCATATTATGTGTATGCATTAATTTGAGAATGACATCACTTACCGCAATATAGAAGTCCTTCCGTAGTAGGCCATAAAAGAGCCACATAATAGCACTAAGGGTGAGAAAAAATGATAAAGTAAATGGCATGAACTCCACACTCTTGGTTCGTATCACAAGTTTCTGCAGTCATAGGTAAATATTTATTGTCAGATCAAGATTCTGCTTTTTTCCCCCCAATTAGTGATGTTTGGTGAGTGAGTAACACAAACTAACTCAATTTAAGAAGCATGAAGAAAAATTTAAGAACAAAACGAAAGGGTTACATCCTCACCATGATGCTCAAAGGTGCTGCAAATACACTTACGGAGAATGCTACGCAAACCCATCCAAGAACTTTAACCCGGTTTGATCCCTTTACAAAGAAGTGGGAGAGAAGAAGAATAAAAAAAAATCCCCCAAAGTTCAACAAAATAAGTATCCTCAAAGTGACAATCTGCAAAAACCAAGTGAAATTATATTTTGTAAGGAGATTACATCAATCGAACAAAATTAATTAATATATAGTAGCACAGAGAGAGATGTGTGATCATTGTATGTACCCTAGCTTGTTTTGGAGCATAGGCAATATATAGAGCAATGTAAATTGTCTCTATGAGACAACCGACTGAGTTGATGGTGATGAGGAGGAGAACATCAGACTTGAGTGATGCATAGTAGAGCCAAAGCATTGCACTGAACAGTGCAACCACATATGGCAGTGATTCGAACCCTTCTGTAGTTTTCTTCTTAAAAATCCTTACAAATGTTGGGCTGCAAAAAAAAAAAAAAAAAAAGGAAAATTATTGCTAGAGCTTCAATGTCGTTCAGTTCAATAGTCAGTTTCATAAGAGATACTATTTAATATTCATTAGAGAAGTTGGCTGAAACAACAAACTTACATTGGAGCGAGGAAAACCACAAAAGAAACGAAGTTACCTAAAAGAAAATCCATATGAAAGTAATAGTTAGGTACACTTAATTAATTATGTAATCACATTTTTTGAACAACTTGAAGCTGTTAAAGCAGACACAGAGGAAAATATATATTTGTAGTACCTATAAGGCCGAATGTAAACACCCATGGGCTATGAGTAGAAAAACCGGTCATCTTCCTCTCTAAATCTCTGCTTCACCCTCACAAAATAAGGATATTGAAATGAAGAAAGAAAAAAAAAAAAAAACAGCTTTGACGGGGAAGCCCTAGCTAGCTAGATAGCTCTCTCACATGCAAACCTTGCCACAATATGCTATAGGTACAAAGGGTGTGGCATATTTATAGAGGAAGTTATGCATGACACCGTACGAGTAAAATGATGAAATGATGATTGCATGTGATCCTAATATTGCGTGCACCAAATGCTAACCCGACATTTGTCTACCAAATTTTTTTCTTCTGTTGATGAAATCTTTTGGCATTCGACCAAAAACGGCCTCGGTTCAAATCTTGTTCATATGAATAATGTGACGAATTAAAAAATATAAAGGATAAGAGGGCTATAATTGTATAATTCTAAGCTTTTCTTCTTTTTTTATTAATTTATGATTAAAAGGTTTTTCCAATTAATTTACGCATATCAAAATTAAATTTATTTTTTATGGTCTAGTTGAATTAGATTAAAAACTTTATGGAAAATTGATGTTCCAACGTGTTAAAGAACCAACTCATTTAATAGATTAGGTAATAATATTTGAATTGATAATCATTTAATTAAAAAGATTCAAATATTATATTAAAGAATCAACTTACTCAAATATTTAAATTATTAGGTGAAGTTTCAAAAATGATTTTATATAATTTTCTAACACAACATTTACTTTTGAGAACATATAATTAATTCACTTATAAATTGATAAAATTTTAAAAACTCTTAAATTTTCAGATTCATCAGGAAAACCGAGAATTTTTGTTTATGTTGTGACAGTAATTATTAGTTACAAGTATTATCGTTGAAAAAAAAACCATTTGATAATGCCTTTAAGTTAAAATAATTTTATATCATAATATATCTTAAAATCTAAAATTATTATTCTATATATTCTGATTTCTCACTTTTTAATATTTCTCAAATCAATTTTTAGAATTCTACCAAAACATCTGTTTCAATAGCTTTGAGAAAAAAAAAAAAAAAAAAAGCCCTATAAAAAAAATAAAAAATAAAACTGCTGCCAAATAGGCTTTGAATGAAAAGACTTATGTATAGTGTACGGTATTATTGTTCTGCCCGGTGTACGTTTCACAGCTCAAGAGTAATGCCCTTCCCCATCTTTCACGTGACCATCCCCATTGCATTTCCTTTACGCTTTGAACATTTTCTTCAGGGTTCAGCCGTTTTTCTTCACACCCACATTTGTCTTTAACGAAAGAGATTAAACTAACCCTAATTATTCCACTGACTGGCCAAATTATCCCATGTCTTTCTCACACCTTCAAGTAATCAACCCAATGACAAGTGTAACATGAGGCAATAAACACTATTGAGATTTGTCTATGAACTGTCGTTGCCATGACCATGTAATTCTCTTCATCCTTAATTTTTTTTTTTTAACATTGTTTAGGTGATCGTGATCAAGAAGAGCAAGATCTGCAGGATGTTGTGCGTTCTATCTCATGTCTAGTGCTTTTGACTGGCACGCGTGAACAAGGGATTCGAAGTCAGCTTCTTAGTGATACATGTGGCACCTCCAAGATCTAATGACAATTATGCATATCTACCATGTTTACATCACCTTATACCACAAATACCGTTAAAGAGCTTACATTTGAACGAATACAAAAGTGGAAGATAGAATGGTACTGCTTATTGTATAATTTTGCTATTGTTTTTAGTTGATTTAACAGGTAACATGGGTTTCCAAGTGTGGTGGGTGGAAGACTAGAATATAGAGACCACCTGAAATGATAAGATTTGGTAAGTGTTATCTCTTATGATTCGTATATTTAAGATTAGAAATGTTAGTTAACCAAGACTGTATATATCACGCATGATTACTATAATGGTCCGCATTATTTTGACAATTATTGGATCCTAGATATTTTTGTTGTGACGATACCAATATGGGGTGATTGCTGCAATTGTGACATTTAGAATATAGGATGTTTTCCCATTCTCATTATTAAAGAGTTGGCATAGAACCAAAATGCTTCTGATCTAGTGGTAACGAAGATTTTGTATTTATAAGAAATTATGAATTCAAATTCTTTATTTGAAGTATTTGACTTTTAAAAAGTCATAGTATAAAAAAAAAAAGACCAGAATAGTCTATTAGTTTTATAGTGACAATTAATTTAATCTATCGTGATAATACAATCTTCTTTTATACTTTATTAACTAATAACTATTAACTTGATCTCAAAATGTCTAATAGTTTATATGGGCTTTAAAGTCTCTATATGGCCAAAAAAAAAAAAAAAGCACATATTATCTGAGTTAGGTGCATATACAAACTCAAATCCCTAGTCACATTTTTTTTTTTTAATATGGACTCCTACCATAATAAGTATTTTAAAATTTTCGAGAGATTTCAAGTTTGATTTTATTTTCCTCTTCTTCTAAAAAAAAAAAAAGTAAAACTTCCTTCTTGTGTATGAGTTAATAGTATGGTAGCTAAATAATTTTTTTTAATTGAATCGAAGAAATAAATTTACTCTTAATTATATTTTACAAACCGAATGGAAAATAGTATCTAATTATCAAATCAAAATAAAAGGTGAAAGAGGCTAATAATTTGTGTAAGTGGGTATTGAGAGAAACCAGCACGATTGACCCGAACTACCTCGCTTTATAGTTTTTTTTTTTAACACCTTCTGTACCAATTCAATTCTACTTAGAGCTAGGAATAATATTATTATTTTATTGATGACAAGTACTAAAGAGGCTTTTCTTATTATATCATCATACTTATTCTACTTGCTAAATTAATGTGTTGTTCGTAGCCACTTTATGGGTGGATGTCCCGATCAATATTAGTGGAGACTTAACACATTCACTTGCCATTCAAAAAGTGTATTAGTTTAATGTGACGATTGATTGTGTTGTGAGTTGCATGAATGAATCCCTTGCTAATTATGATTGCTCCGTTACTTTAGATTGCATCGTTGAATTAATTATTAGAATGGCGGGTGAAAACAATCAAATTAAATGGCCTTTCACTTGCTTGCTAGGTGGCATCTAACATTACCAAATATATTTGAATTTCATTTCCTTTTACTAATTAATGTGTTTGTCCCAAATAAGCAATTAGCTGTTTCCAATTGACACCACATCACCAAACTAATTATGGTGCATCTTTAAGATTGTTGTGCTTTGAGTTGCTTTTGGTTTAAAAATAGCTAGCTAGTGTTTAGTCAATACATGATTAATTTGCTTTGAAACCAAAGCACATATCCTTTGAAAAAAAAATTGTTTTGTATTTGATCATATATTTGTTTTTAACCAAAAGCACAAGTGTTTACTGTGGGGTTTATTTTAAAAAAATAAAATAAAATAAAATGAGAACTTTTTCTGTGAATTGTTTTTTAAAAATTACACATTTCAAAGATACTGGTGTTTTATGTAATTAAAATTTCTTATAACTTCAAAGATTTTTTATTTTAAAAAATTAAAATGAGCGAATGTGTCGATTCAGGATGCTTTAGGCTAAGAAGGTCGTGCATGCAGCTGGATGACAAAAACAGCATTTTGATCATGAACGTCTATTTCTTAATTTTTTTTTTTTTTTCAACATTTTATTCTTCTCAATCCTGTTTAAAGGCAAATTAGGACATGTGTGCTAGTTTGTTGTTAATGTGGTAAGAGTTAGTTCAATATGGATAACGATGCTTGACATGAAATAATTACTAAAAAAAACTAAAAGATCTAAGATTATCACTATTCATTTACATTAACTTTTTTTTTTTTTTAAAAAAAAAGGCTGCCAAGGCCTGCTGGCTTGGCGTTTTTCTCAACAGGCGCGAGCCTAACCCCCCCCCCCTCTCTCTCTCTCTCTCTCTCTCTCTCTCTCTCTCTCTATATATATATATATATATATATATATATATATATATATAATTAATGAAATTAGGTATAAAAAATATAAAAAATAAATTTTTATTTTTTTAATTTCATGTACAATTTAAAGATAATAGAATATATATGATATTTTTTAATATTTTAGTTTGAACATATATATCCGATTATATTACTCTTATTGTTTAAAATTTATTTCTTCAATTATTTGTTTCTTATTAAAATTTTAATAGAATTAATTTCTTGATATAATTTTATTTGTTAATAAATTTATTTTTTTAATAAATGAATTTTGGAATAAAAATTTTAGAACGTTAGTGTTTTATTTTTAAAAAATATATTATTATAATTTATTATTTTTATGCTTTTCAAATGAGTGTTTTATTTTTTAAAATATATTATTATAATTTATACAGTAAATCATTTTTATGCTTTTCAAATGAGTATTTTATTTTTTAAAATATATTATTATAATTTATAAATTCCGATTTTGTGTGTTTGTGTGCATGTGTGTGTGTGTGTATATATATATATATATATATATAGAGAGAGAGAGAGAGAGAGAGAGAGAGAGAGAGAGAGAGAGAGAGAGAGAGAGAGCCGAGAGTATTTTTTAGATAGTTTGGCTTAATTTTTTTTTAACATTTGATTTTTTTTTTTTTTGGAAAGGCGACCAAGGCTTGCTCGCTCGGCCTTTTTCTTATCGAGCGCGAGCCTAAGCCAAGTCTCTCTCTCTCTCTCTCTCTATATATATATATATATATATATAGCAATCGATCGCGCATATATATATCATGAAATTAGATGTAAAAAATATAAAAAATAAATTGTTATTTTTTTTTATGTACAATTTAAAGATAATAGAATATATATGATATTTTTTAAGATTTTAGTTTAAACATATATATCTCGATTATATTACTCTTATTGTTTAAAATTTATTTCTTCAATTATTTGTTTCTTATTAAAATTCTAATCGAATTAATTTCTTGATATAATTTTATTTGTTAATAAATTTATTTTTTTAATATATGAATTTTGGAATAAAAATTTTAGAACGTCACCGTTTTATTTTTAAAAAATATATTATTATAATTTATAC